GGGGAAAAAAAGGGGAGAAAAAAGCTTTGTAAATCCACTAAACAAAAAGGAGGGATAAAGAGGAACAGCTTGCAATTCAACATGACAACAATGACAAGGGCGTACCATCATCACGAAAAATTACTTTGCATGTAATTCTGTTTATCGTATTCACAAACAATGCAAAGCTTTGATGCGTTTATGTGTAAGGGTTGACATTGATTGGTCATTGGCGCTAGTTTACACTCAAATCAACATTTTAGAGCGACTTAATACACAATTAAACGTGAAAATTGGCTTTACAAGTCTCCGTTCTAGTGCTTTGTCAAAACAGGCTAGTTTCAGAGGCTCCACCCTGTCCACTCAGCTTCCAGGGCGCGTCAATCAGAATTAGTGATGGAGGTGACACGGAAGCCCACCATCAGGAGGTATTTTAGCCTCGCTCTTCCAGAAGCGTGAGAGCTGATGGAATGCTTTAGGCTCAGGGATGAAAGATGATTTATGCGGAGCCACAATTCTTCCAGAACCAGTGCCTCAATTCCTCCTTTTCGTGGACCTTTACCCACCTTTGAATGCTGACCAATCGCCAGCCTGGAGGAAGGATGTGTCTCACATGCGTTCACCTTCTACACCTTTAATCGCTCACCGAAGATGTCTCTCTCCTGACCCATAAATGCAGGCAATTACCCATGCAGTATTGCTTTACCAGGACCCACAGAGAAGCCCTTTCATTGCTTTGCCAGAGCTGAGGTAACGTGGAGCATTAAACTTACTTTTAGGTGGCCTTTTAATCAGCGCAAAAGACAAAATAACTGCTATAGGCACCTTGGCTAATTCTGCGCCTTGTCTACTCTGCTGCAATCAACACTAAATCTGCTTTTAAAATGGGAAATAAAAACTGGTCTTAGTCATAGTCCTCTCTCAACTTCCTTATCATCCATTCGGCCTTGTGTACAGTTGTCTGGGCGGTCAATGCTAGTGCCGAGATAGTATCGCAGAAGGACGGAAGGAAGTGGAATGAAGGGAGGCTGAAGTAGGGATGGAAATAAGCGTGACTTGTCTCACGAACAAATTAGGTAGTGCGATGTAATATAGTTTTGGGTTTAAAAAAAAAAAGGAGGACCAAAGGAGGCGCATCAACGGAACCACAGGACAAATATGTCGGTAAAGGATGAAATAAAACAGTTCCTCATTCCCTTGTTTTAGTGCTAATTGATGAAGGCTTCGAAGAGTGTAATGTGTTTCGATACCCTCGAATTGAGGAGGTCGTCTTGAGGAAACAACAATGCCATTTCGGTCAGTCGGCAATCTTGCCAAGTACTCCAAACTTGGAACTGGCAGCCTTGATGGTATGGCTTTAGTGATTATGTTTTGAGGCACCTGTTTTACAATGTTAGACGCCAACTCGTTTGGCAAAGGAGTTGTATTTGTGCGCCTACATTGACAAGCTACTGAGACAGTACAGAAGATTATGAAAAAAAAAAACAATCAAACCACTCTTAATCTTAAAAGAACGGTGAGACAAAGCAGTGAAACGATCAGCCACTGAAATGCACCTTTTAGCATCACTTAAACAACTTGATAAATGTCATGCGAGTTGTGACAACGAGCTTATAAATATACTTCAAGCAGTCGTCGTCAATGCCACTGAAAGCAATCCTCAACAATGTTCCATTTTTATCCAGACTGGACAACAGATGGAGCAGGTCTCTAGACACTGGCAATATTTTTTTTTTACTCCAACAGCGAGCACTGCAGGTTGAATGCTGATCGGAGCTTTTGGAAACAACCTGTAAGTAAATCTTTTTTTGTATGTGTGTATTTTGATAAGACATCGTGGGACAATAGCAGTTAAGCGTCAAACAGGGCGAAATAGAAAATTGTTGTTGTTGTTGTTGTGCATTATTTTAACATGTTGACCTTCTCCTTTTTTTTCAAAGGAAACAAAAAAATGCAATTTACGCATACAAGTGTCCACCAAACGATTTCGAGTCATCCTTGAAAAAAAATAGTAATAATGACCCGAAAAAGAACCCTTTTGAACATCTTCCTCTCCAAGCTTCACACAGCCATAAAATATTTCACTTCAATGCTCAACTTATGACAATAACATCATCGAGTCGGCTTTTGACTGTTCCCTCTGGATTGGCGCTTCCTCGTCTTCCGAAAATGCATTGGTTGAAAGGGCATCACATGTGTCCAGCGCCAGTTGTTGGAACACGGACTTGACAAATGTGTCACGTAATAAACAATGGAGCTTAAATATTTTCGTGGAGTCATAATGTTATCAACCACTCTTGTCTGCTAACTTAGCCGCAATTCATTGGCACTAATCTAAACACTCTCCGAATAAGTGGAAAACAGTGGAGACCTGTAGAACAACGACTTTGGATGATTTACTTCCACTGATGGCGTCATTTCTGTTAGCATAACTTTTTCTGAAAGTCAAAGAAGCAGAATGGCTTATACGTAGAGGTCTGGTCAGATGCCATCCGAGACGGTGTTGATGTCTTATCGACGCCGTCGATGAGACTTGTCCAAGGGTTGAAGAAGCATCAGTACTGAGGAACTTCGCAAAGGGTCGAAGAGGCCTCCTGAATGGCCTACAACTCAGGTTCCAGTGGCTTGCAAATTCGTACTTGAGGAGCTGAAAAATCGACCGAATGATTACAATTGGCAGCTCCAGTAGTCTCTGAGGACAGCAATGGAGTCACAAAAATCAGCACTTTTGTGGCTGAAATAGTCATTGAGTTGACAGTTAAGTATTAAAAGGATGCATTGTCAAAATGTCAAATACTAGACAGGACAATATACTTGAATGTTTGGACCATGCAGACTAAATCTCTAAAAACCCACTTACCCTCTCATTTGTGGCAAGCTAAGGGCTTTCTCCGGCGAACAGAGAGGGAGAGAAAAAATTGGATATGTATTGTTCGCCTGCAGAATAGCTGGATGGGTGTGGAAGGAGGAGGAGGAGGAGGGACTGTTGACATCCCCAAGGGTTATTTAATCCAATGAAGTACAAAAACCGAGTCTTAAATATCCGTGGTCAAAAAAAAAAACGACAAAAGCATTGTGTGTGAATAGATTTATGCCTATTGTTAGGTAAAAGAAGTAACACGCACTCTTCCATCCACTCCATATCTTGTCCCACCTCCTCAACTTATACCCACCTTTGTTACACCCCCCCTACATGACTGATTTTATTTATGCATACACTGTAAGAAAGAGGACTTAATTACACGCATTGCACCCTACTGCTGTTATCTGAAGGGGAAGGGTTTCGGGAAAAGTGAGCAAAATGGTTCCCTGAAACACAGCTTCGAAGCTGCACAATAGAGTACAGCATGCATTGTGTAGGCAATGGCAAAGCGTATGCTCCTTCCTTCTTCACAAGACGTCAACTGATAGAAATTTCCAAGACTGAGAGACTCATGACGGAGTAGACAAGTACTTGAAGGCAAAATTCCTCATTTACTATTTCCTCAGGTGGCATGTGAATAGATCATGTGTTTTAAAAGAGGAGTTTTGTAAATAAGGCGACACAAATGTATCTATTTCTTCAAATTGGCTACTTACACACCCAAACAAGCCTCCGATCACCTCTATAAATAGAGGATGTCATTTTATGCAACACACAAGCCATTTACTTGATTCACGAGGCTAAATAAACAAATGTAATAGATGTTTTTGCCTTGACCAAACCTTATGAATCTCTTCCGCATAGAGCGCAGTGGTTGCCACTTATCTATCAGAAATTAATGTTAAAGTTGGCATTAAGTGGTAAGGGAGCCTAAAAAATCCCTATAGCGATTCATAAAGACGCACTACTTTCAAGTTGTAGACTATTAACGGTTTTAAGTAGTATAGGGCAACCATACATACCTGCTTGTTTGAGTCTTTAATCTTAGCTTTGTGAGTGAATTTGAAGAATTTATTTACGAGTCTTCATCGCAAATCTTCCAAATGTAGTCTTCGAACCAAAGAAAACGGTTTATTACCTTCACAGAGGTGATATAAACAACTCCTAGGAAAAGTGCCACATTTGGCGACTGTCTTTTCTGCCCTGCTACTCTCTGAGGCAGTGAAAATGATGCTGTGCCCTTAAAAAAGGCTTCTAAACACAATAATTTAAAAAGTGAAAGAAGATACAGAACCCGGACAGTCAACAGCATACTCTAAACCAATGGATCTCGGACTTGAACGTCTAACGCATCAAAGGTGGTAGGGCAGGATTACAAGCCATAGCTTGCTAAAAAAATTAGAAGGAAGCAAAGAAGTTTAGCCACACATTTGTCCTTTTAATAAACTTGCAAGTAAATCTGTGCAAAGGAGAAAGAGGAGGAGATGGGATGTTTTGAAATGGAACTAACCAATGCCAATCGCAGACTAAGCGACCAACCAGAACTCAAATTGCCTTTGCAAAAGAACTAGCAAATTTTGCAGCATTACTTCGGGTGGCACACTTTGTCTATAGCAATGGATTACAACACCTCTTCATCCACATCCCTCCTGACCAATTCTTCCCACTATGTAAGTCTTGCTCTTCGTCCTGCAATCTACTACAGTCTACCATATCGCATACTTGGCACAATAGCTGCAACTCTCATTCTCATAGTTGGATTGTCTGGCAATCTACTTGTGATCACGGTGATTACGTGGTCCTCAAAGATGCGTAGTCCAACAAACTGCTACCTAGTGTCCCTCTCCTTCAGTGATATGCTCTTTCTCCTGCATGCTGCAGCTCCTTTTATCTGGGAGCTCTACGTCATGATAGGCCAGTGGACACTGGGCACGCAAGCCTGTCGAATTATCGTAGCAATGCAATACCTCTGTGTGGACACATCTGCTCTTTCAATGGCAGCCTTTTCGGTGGAGCGTTGGGTGGCTATTTGCCATCCTATGCGTGCTCAGACCCTCTGCACTGTGAACCGAGCACTTAAAATTATTGCTGGCATTTGGATATTCTGTGGTGCCTACAATTGTGTCTGGCTTTTTACTCTGGACACACAAGTTGTTGAATATGTCTATGGCACCTATCAAACCTGCACTTACAAATTTTCCCGAATGCGTTACTCCACTGTGTACCTGTTAGATTTCATCCTCTTTTACACCCTTCCATTGGGCCTGATATTTGTCATGTATACACAAATCGCTTTACGACTCTTCAAATTTCACAAGCCTCTCTGTCTGGTCTTGAACAAGGAAAAATCGGCAGACAACAGAAAGGCTGCAAGAGACCCAAGACGCAGTAGTCCACTTGCCTGTCAGTTGAGTATTTTGGAACAAGCGAGACAGGCTACACTCAACCGAAATGGAGGTCGACAAATTCGTTCAAGGAAACAGGTGTGTAGGTCAATTGCATGCTTCAAATGAGTCCAGATTCGCCTACAACGTGATGCCAACGCCGGTAGTGCATTTAACCACGCTTTGAAGTAGAAATGCATGATGAAGGAATTGACTTCCATGCCTTTTAAAAAGGCTACTAATCGTAGAAAGTCTCGTGTTGGAAGGGAAAAAAGTTTACCTAACCCACTTTATCATCATTTTTCATCAAGACAAAGATTTACAGGTTCAGTACCTTCGCTGGAAGGTGTAAAGGTTAACATTTTTAAATCTCTTCTGAAATGAGTTTGGTGTGGAATTGGTTTGCAAATGAGTGAACTTGTGGTAAGTTCAGTTTGTGATAGTGAAAACGGTTTGTAAAGCGTCTATGCAGCCACTTCCACCCTCTCCGACAAGGCAGACGAGATTATGTAGAGATAAGAAGTTGGCATTTCTTTGGTTTGATGAAAGTAGTTTTTACCACCATGGCAGTTGGAGACTGTTGCTGATGTGGTGGAGTTGATGGCACACTTTCCATCCACTTTGGAACTGTGAGTTGATACTGGCCGAGTTGGTGTGACCGCTTCAAACAAAAGGCTCTTTAACTTTCTTTACTAGGTAGTTAAAATGTTGATGGCGGTGGTGGTGCTCTTTGCGGTCTTCTGGTTTCCTTATCGCACATTGGTGGTGTACAACAGCTTCGTCACACCTAAACGCACCGACTACTGGTTGATACTCTTTGTCAAGACAATGGCCTACCTCAATTCTACAGTCAACCCAATCCTCTACAACGCCATGTCCAAGAAGTTTCGTCGTGCTTTTCGCCTATTGCTAACACAAGGTGAGGTTTTATAACATTTAACTTATTTAAATTTGTCCTCTTCAAGGGGATGAACTCCTCATGAGACACTAAATCAGTCCTCTGTTAATCTCAAAGTAAGGCATGCGCTTTAGTATTATCATCCTTCGCCTTTTCGTAGCCTCCTGCTTTGGAAGACAAAGCAAAATGAACAGCGTTTTGGGCAGTCGACGCACCGAGTGTGTTAGATCGCGAGACTACTTTCGTCAAGTGCACCAACGACGACACCAACTCTCACGAACCTCCACCAGTCCAATTCAGGAAACAGAACTACAAGTCCTCACCTCCAAGACCAATAAAGAGGCTCTGGAGTAACGTAAATGCCAAGGGGCTATTAAAAGAGCAAACAAACAAACTCCTACCCGTCCATTGTAATATAAATGGTGTAAATACTGAGGCACTGTCAAATCTTAATGGAGCATAATGTTTTCTTTTGTCTAAAGCAATTCTCCTGGGAAGAAGTTTGTTCACCTTGGCAAAAATCTTAGGCATCCTTCTGCATTTGGGTAGTTGTTTTTTAGAAATTAGTCATAGTTGCAAATTCCATTTATGCCTTCAATTGGACTTTACACAGGAAAGACAAATCAGGATTAGAAAAATCTGCTTTGTTTACCCACTGCCCGAGGTATAGGTGGACGGAGACGTTAGACCTTCTTCTTTTTTTTTTTGCTAATAAAGACAGATTGTCTCAAGTTTAATGGTCGAGGTGAGAAGTGCCGCTCAAGGTCTTTGCCTGATGACCTGTCAATTTGGACGTCGAGGCTACCTTCCCGGACTGAGGATGCACAACACCTTTTGTTCCGAAAGTTGCCACAACGCGATTTTTGACCGTACAAAATAACCAATCAGGAATAAGTAAAAAATTAAAATTTGCATAATGAAGTACACATTTTAAAACTTTTAAGAAATGGTAATGTTTAACACCAATTTTGCGTACAGGTCGTGTTGAGACTGTCTTTAAACATTAACTAAGTGATTTCATGTCTCTTGGGCTCAGACATTGGAGTTGGTAAACATGAGTTGGCAAAAGTGAGGTTTCCTGGGTACTCTGTGCATAATTAATGAGTCCTTCCTGGTAATGGCTTAAAAGAGGAACACGAGAAACTAACCTCAACTTTTTTACACCTTGACAAGCTGTAGCCATGCAAAAGGGAGGCACATAAGAGTCCCTTGCGTCACCGCCATTCGATGTGGATGATTTCAAGCTGTCAACTCTATCCTTGTCAATGACACATGCTATGAAGCAGCTACTGATTATAAATAGACTGAGATATTTTAGGGGAAAAGGCGGTAAAAACCAGAGGCAGGCCAAATTTGCTTGCATTGACAAGTAGCACTGCGTGTGTCATGGGCGAACATCTTAATTACTCCCAAGTGAGTGTTTTACAAAGCAACAAAAATTGTGACCAGAAATGTTTAACATTCGTCATACCTTCTCCTTTTCCCTGTCATGCCGTTCTAGACTAATATGACAAGAAATTTGACTTTTTGCTGTCTTGCAACGACCCCATTTTGACATGATCAGAAGGTCTTTCGTGTTGTCTTGCCTCTGGACACCATCGGTGGTCCTCATGGACCCTCCTCTCGAGGATGAGATATATTTGCAGGTAGGAGAGATCGCTGGTGTCTTGGGATTGCACTAGGAGCAGGTTGATGTGCTATAGTGACCCAATTGTGTTTCGTGCCATCATTTATGTGGGTGCAGTTACCCTGTAAAAGCATGCAAAAAGAGATTTTATCTCCCCCAAATGGCATAATAAATGATCGTGTTCATGGAGAAAAAGTAGATGAGGATGCAGGTTTAATGGCTTTCATTTTTCTCGTCTTCATGATTTACTGTCATTTGCAGTAAATGTTTTGCCTTCTGTAGCACTCATTTGTGGAATACAACCAATAAAAACAGACTTTCTTATCATTTCCATCAGCTTCACTTAATTCTACCATCTTTCATGTGGCAAAAAATAAGTCACGTTGCCTTTAAATTGTAGCACTGCATGAGGGATTGTTCTTCGCCCCTCAATTCGCCTTTGTGCGAACAGATAGACTTCTGTAGCTTAAAAACTTCATCAACTCCTCCTCATCAATCAACTCTCCACGCCGTCCAAACCGTCTGAATGGCTCTCGTCCTGACCTTGAGGCAACTACACTGGCCCTCGGTGGCACTCATACCAAAAATTTCCATACTGAAGATGAGGGTTGAGCATACACTACTCCATCCATTCTGCAAGAGGATAAGTGAAAAATGCTAGCCATAAGCACGCCCCTTGCTTTGATGTGAGCACAATAAACAGCTCTGTGAGCGGCTTTCCTTTCTGCGGTATGCCAGATACCACTTTTGTCTTAGGTAGGCATCTGTACTCCACGTGATTTTAATAGCCTCTGTAACATATCCTCGCATTATTGGCCATACCCAGCAGACATCTATCTTTTGTGGCATTAAAGCTTGGCATTTTAGTCGTAGAAGGTGAAGCCAATGTCCTTTCGGACAGGATTTGCACACTAAGACGTCAATGCAACACTCATTTCCCCACACCTAGCCGAGATACCAAATCAAACAATATAAAGTAGTCCTAATCCCAAGCGGACCTTAATGATTTATTGGTTCAGAGATTGGCGTATCCATTTCAGTAGTATCTACGTCAATCGTTTTGTTTTGATGGCATAAATGCAATCGGTCGACTTTGGGACACTTCATGTACCTATAAATGCTTTATACCAAATAAAGTCGTTAGCAAAAGTGATTGTGGGGCAGTTTATTGAGAATAATTGCCTTAGAAAATCCAACTCATGTGTCTTTCTCTGTGGTTCTCTATTCGCCTTAAGTGTACATGGAATTAGGGTTATGGGTCTGCATCTATGGCAATAAATTTATTCCTAGAGCAGTCGGATAGTTTGGCCTGGATGGTGGTAGTGGTGGTGGTGGTGGTGGTGGTGGTGATAAATCGTGCTGAGATAATGCAACTTTTATTACAGTGCACACATTACACCGCCGAACAACTGCGCTTTGAGGTAGCCAAGTCAAGGGAGGGCATCACTTTCAATCATTGTAAGGCTGGAGGGATTCCCAAAATTCCTAAGGAGAAAATTTGGCTTACACTTGCATGACATTCGCCATAACACAGTCTTCACAGAGAGTGAATGTATGTCTGAAGGGGAATGATCGTGTCACCACCCCATCCCGTGACCTACAGACCACACCAGACAGCGTAGAGTTTAAGTCGTTCATTGTGCTGTTATTCAAACCATTCATAGGTGGGGATAGGGGAGTGGGATGCGCGATCCTACTACCATATTTTTATGTTCTCTCTAAGTCTGAGCATTCGGAAAGGAAGGGTTTCCAGTTTGTGCTGCTGCTTTTGCATACAAATGTCAAGATTTCAACTTCTGACCGCAAACCACTTAATCTCACAGAAAGTAGAGGTTGTTTCTAATGCAAGAGGGGAATTGAAGCGTTACACTGTGATCAAGTGAAGGCCTTCCACGTCAATCGCCTCTGGCGATTCCTTTCTTCCTCCTCCCGTGGGTGCACAGTCCGAAGGTAAATTTGAACTATCCATTTATGTAATCCTGTGACATGCCAGCTCTTCTCCACCGTCACTACAACAAATGATTTTGTCCTCACTGAATTAAAGGGCAGTAGAGGCGGGAATCCAGGTTGCCAAACGGAAGGGTCACCCGTCATGGGAAAAAAATTGGAAAATTTGTTAATATGCAAATTATACATGACATCAAAGGAAGGCTCTCGACAACCCATGTACCCATCTGAGTGAAGAAGGTTTTAACCACCCCTTAGTTTTCTGCTCTCAAATATGTGCTTGTAAATGAGGGATTTTTCAGAGTCGCATCACATCTTAAAGTGCATTTCCTTACATTTTCGTCTCTGTAACACCGGGGCGCAATTTTACCGTTAGTTGTCGACCAAATGCTCGGTTGCTGCCACAGGTAGAGTGTTGATGTTGCAACTCTATCTGATTAGGAGTAAAGGGAAAGGTGAAAAAAAATGCCCAAAATCAGTATTTTATTCCCTACTGTTTATGTTGTTTATCCAGAGGTCCAAATTTATGGATACAGAGGCTTCTACCGCGATTGTGTATGGCATGTGAGGGGGTGCGTTGAGAGGTTGCCGCGATAATTAAACAGGTGACGTGATCAAACAGCTGCCACTCATTGATGCGCAGTGGTACACCCACAAGTAGATGGAACCAGAGGATGGATGGCATCTGCCTCTCGTTAAAATCGAGGCTCATAGGCACAGAGCCGGAGTCTGTCAAGCTTCTATATAATGTGCACTAAATAAGTAGTAGTTTAAATTGTCGACAAAAGGACGTGTCTGATTGGCTGATTGAAGTGTAAAGGTTGGCGAATTTTAAAATTTTTGTCGCATTCCACCCTCGAGCATGCATGGAATCCTTTGCTCCAAAAAAGGTCTAGCAAAATACTACCAGTATTTTTCTAGATAACATCCGTCAAATAAGGAAAAATAGATGAGAAATCTGTGAAATCAAATCATTAAAATTGACTTTTACACCCTATTTAATTGCCATTTTGATGAGGGGAAAATCTCTTTGACGGTTGACTGGACTGTTGGGCACCAAAATACACCAACTGCACCTCTCCGTTCACTGGTTCTTCAGTTTTCGTCACATTCAGAAAGGCATTTTAGTTGGCCAAAAGAAGTGCACTCAGAGGGACCGATAAATCTCTGAACGTCGAGCTAATTGTGAGTTCTTTTGTAATATCAAAGCTATTTAATAAAGAGTGTTCCAATTTATCAGATTAATTTACTTCCTCACTTCTTGCTTGTGAGTAAAGCACTGCCTCCTTTCTGCATTAATGTAGTGTCCTGTGATGGACATGCCGAAGCAGTCCAACGACTCAATGCAGGGGCCTTGTCGCCAAGCGTACGGAAGAAGAAAGCACTAGGAGAACAAAAATGGTAGTATAACACTTAGGTGATATGAAATTTTTAAGCCTACTTGTGTAGTTGTGGGAAAGAATGTTGTGTATTATTGGTGACGGTTCTTTGCGAGTGCCCCTTTTGCAAACCATTCTCGTTTGGCGTCCCATTTGCATTGTTCACTCTGATGATCCACGAATTACACTTGGCTTTGATGATAGTCAGGACAGATTTACAAGAGAGCATAGGGTCTTTCTTTGACTACTTTGATTGAAGTCGGCAATGGTTGCACAAATTGAGGTGGCGTCATCAATACTGGCGGGGGAGGAAGTCGGAAGAGGAAAAGGAGGAGGAGGAGGAGGAGGAGGAGGAGGAGGAAAATACATTCAAATCCACCTAATGAAGCTTGATTAAGCGG